CCGGTCTTGAGGTCATTCTGAAACCAATCTTGGAATGAGCAGTTGAAGAAGCTGGTTTGGAGCGATCAGTCTCCGGCATTCAATAGCTAGCTCGCATGATCTTAAAACACGGTTTATGCCCTCTCTAGCTTTGTTACAGACTTCACAGATGTCGCTGCTTGCCACGTGCCTTTGAAGTCTTTTGTTTTATAGAACCAGCCAGAGGAAAGTTCTTACACACTGTGGACCAGGTCAATTCCAAGCAAGCTTCCACCTAGGATTGACGTCATCCCACTTATCATTCATGAGCAGCTTGTGGGCAGAACAGAATGAACTGGGAAGATGCGTTTACTTTCGGGGTTCCAAGAGCAAGAATCCTCTACCTCAGGATTCAAAGGGATTACGTTTGCAGCGATCTGATTTCAGTTGAAAGCAATGGCTAAAGTTGGGTGCTTTTTAATCACGCGCGCGCACCCAATTACAGGTTGAAACATATTACTTCTTCGTGACTGGAGAAACATTGATGTCAATGATCTTTGGCTGCGGTTGGGTCAGGTGATCGATCGCACGAAACCAATAACTTTTTAACCCAGCAAAACGAGTAATTAAAGTAGCATTAGCTGTCGCTTAACTGGACCATACGCGGGGAAAGTTAAATTTGAAAGGGGAAAGAAAAAAAAAAAGGCGCAGATGCAAATGAAAGTAAAGCTGGGAAAACAGGTCGAGCCCGTCCCGACTCATTTAGGCCATGAAATTATGAGGGTCAGACTTGATATTTTTCCCTTCAAATAGAAAATAAGTTCAGGAGGGTTGGCCCTGAAGGGCCGAGGGCTTAAAAGGGACAGTCCTTTTAAGCCATTTATTTTTTTTTTTTTAAATTTTTTTATATGGCCATTTTAAGCTCTTTTATAATTTTTTTTGTTTTTTAAATTTTTTATATAATTCTAATGTTATTAATTTTTACATTGTTAATAATATTTCAAATATTTAGTTATTATTATCATTTTAAAATTAAATTTAGTGTTAGACAATAATTTATCCAATTAAATTTTAAAAAATAAGTTAATTTGGACTTTAATAATAATTTGATTTATATTATATGCGTTGATATTTTTAAACTAGATATATATTTGATAATAGAGTATTTTTATACTTATATAACTTGTGATTCTATAATTTGAATTAGAAATTTATAAGTTTCAACAACAATGTTTCTCACATTAAAGTAAAATAATAGATAGATTGTAAAATTTAAAAGTAAAATTCCTATAAAGAAGAAAAACTTGATATTTTTGTTACAAAAGAAAAGCATACTTATGAAGAAGAGTAATTAATTATAGTGATGATGAAATTTCAAAAGATTAATGATAGTATTTATTTATTACACAATTGCACTATAGACAAAACTTTTGGATGTTGTTATCTTGTTAATGAATGTTTTAGATGTTCTTGGATGTTGATATTTTATATTTGTGACTTAATTTTATTCATATTTATGTCTTTTTTTAATAATTTATTGGTTTATTTTTATTGTTTTATAAAAAATATGATAAATATAAAAAAATTTTTTTTTCTTTAAACGGGCCAAAAGCCCACGGACCGTCTGAGCCCGTAGTTTAAGGGCCGGACTTAATAAATTGGGATATTTTAAAATTTAAGTCTTAAAAAACCGGTCCTTTTAAATCGTCAGTCCTAAAAGGCCGGTCCTGATTCCCACCCTCTAGACGTGATGCCATGTGAAAGGCATCACAACGTTGCTGCTGGATTAGCCGAATCAAATCATGACGCGGGTCTCCACACGCCCCCCGCAGCTTTGGCTACCAAACCATAACAAACCCCAGACTTGGTCGTCTCGCACGCCACGCAATGCTTGCCATCATTCTTTTATTATTAATATTTGGTTAAAGCCTCCCTTTGTTTCTTTATTTCCAATTAACAAAGTGTTTTCAAGAATAATTAATCTTCATTAGAACCAAACTCATATCCCAAACATCATTTACAACTCGCCAACAATATACCTGCAAATCACCCTTTTACATGAGATAGCATTTTTTTTTTTTGAGGATCATGATCTTCTGTTCATGAGAAAAAAATTCATGCCACTGGATTATCAAAATACCAGTAAACGCGAGGTTACTTTTAAATAGCTTTTGCATTCATTTTTCCCTATAATTTACCTTCTAATTTAGTGTGCTGGTGCATAATTATATTTTTAAAAAATTATGCCGCCTCTGACTTATATTAGTGTTTCCATATTTATATTATTAATTAGTTTTATTCTGCTAATTTAAATACTAAAAATATTTTTTTAAAAACTATTTCGACATCAGTTGTTTAACGGTCAAGGATCCCCATAGCCTCGCTTTGAACGTCAATCTCCGCGGACAAGAGCAGTCAGAGTAAAATTAAAAGACCGGAAGATAAATGAAGCAATATTATATTGAAATTGAACTGTATAAAAGGGAGGGAGGCGACCGGGGAGGTTCCGTTTCAGAACCTGCCTGCGAACTCTGAAATTCTACAAAATCAATTTCATTTGGGCAGAAGCCAAACCGCGTACTTTGCTCAACTTCCATTTTGATCCATTCGTATTCAGAACAGCAACAAAGCGTGAAGGTGAAACAGAGGATATGCATCCGCACCAGAAGACAGTTCTTCCCAAGAGAATAATACTGGTTCGTCATGGTGAATCTCAAGGAAACCTCGACACTGCAGCCTACACCACCACCCCTGACCATGAGATTCAGTTAACCCAACAAGGCATTGCGCAGGCCCGCCTCGCCGGAGATAAACTACGGCAGATCGTTTCTGGCGGCGACTCTTCTCCTGATTGGCGGCTCTACTTTTACGTGTCCCCCTACCACCGTACTCGGTCGACCCTTCGTGAGATTGGTCGATCTTTCTCCAAGAAAAGGGTACTTGGCGTCAGAGAAGAGTGCCGAATCAGGGAGCAGGACTTTGGGAATTTTCAGGTCCAAGAAGGATGAAAGTCATCAAGGAGACGCGCGAACGTTTCGGCAGGTTCTACTATCGCTTTCCGGAGGGAGAGTCCGCCGCCGATGTGTTCGATCGCGTTTCAAGTACTTTCTTTTTCTTCTCTCTCACTCTCTCTCTCTTGAACTTTCTATTTCGGCAATGGATTCCATTGCACTTGTTTATTACTAGTTTTTTTTTAAGGTGGGTGAAAAAAGAAAGGTTAGGGGGCAGATTTGCCCTAAAGGATTTTCATCACCAGGTACAAATGGGGCAATATTTCTTATAGCTTCAGAGATATTGCCCCTGTAGTATCGTTAGCATTTTGTCTCCTTCTGAACTGAACGTTTACCCCTGCTGTTCATTTCCTCCCAAATGAGTTTTGTCCCTCCCGTTTGACTCTTTTCTTGCCTGGGAATCATAATCCATATCGTGCATCTATTTACTTATTGTTTTCCGCTGACGCTTAGTTTGCTCAAATGTAAACACGATATCGAAGAGTGATAACTGGTTATGAAATTATGGTGTGCTCTACTGCAATTTTTTGTTTCCTATTCATTCGAGTAGTCCCTTAATGAAGTAGTTGTTTATGTGACGAGCAGATTTCCTGGAATCACTGTGGAGGGACATAGACATGAACAGACTTCACCTGGATACCAAGCAGGATCTGAATCTGGTAATTGTGTCACACGGACTGACATCACGGGTATTCTTGATGAAGTGGTTCAAGTGGACAGTGCAACAATTCGAGCATTTAAACAATCCGGGGAACTGTGAAATCCGGGTAATGCAGCTGGGGAGTGGAGGGGACTACAGCTTAGCATTGCATCACAGTGACGAAGAACTGTTGGAATGGGGGCTTTCACCTGAGATGATAGCTGATCAGAAGTGGAGGGCCAATGCAGACAGGGGTGCCTGGAATGATCACTGCCCCTGGTACTTGGATGAATTCTTTGATCGTCTTCCTGACCACTCTGACGATGACACTGCTGCTTAACGAGATGAAACCACCACTACATAGTTTGCCCTCCTTCTGCCTTTACGAATTCTTTGAGCTTCTTTACTACTAGGTATACTAGTGAAACTGCAAAGTGCAAACAAATCTATTCTTTAAGCCATTCTTAGATGCTTGCCTCGTGGGTAGTGTGTCAAGTGGGTAATCTTGTTTTCTCGGGCACGTGTGCACTTTATTTGGAATTATAGCGATGGTAACTTCAAGTACGACAGGGGCCATCATTTTCGAATCCGGATATGATGGGCGATCAACACATTCGTAAATTTAGTTGTCTGGCTCGTCCATTGTTTCGCTTGCATATACAAGCTTCTTAATTATTATTTAGTTTTAAATATAAGAATTAGTTAAAATTTTAATTTAATTTTCTTATATTTATTTATTTTGCTTTCAAAAATATTTTAAAAAGGACAATACATATTTATTATAAATAATTAATTTGAATAATTTTGTTTACATTTATAAATTAATTGTCCAGCTCTTATATTAAAGGAATAAGATAATATTTTACATATCATATGGATATGTAGCTATAAACATCAACATCATTTTATTTTTAATTTATGCTCAGTGAATAATATTTTTATTAATAATTATTAATAATGTTTCATCATTTTGTAAAGAATTTTAAAACGGATGTTAATGATTAAAAATTTTTTTACCATGAAATTGGATCATATAAATTATACAAGTAAAACTGCAGAAATAAGTTCAGGTGATCGCTAATGCAGTGAAGTACCGTTATTTGGGTTTGAAATGTATCTATAGCACATGTCATATGAGACACAAATTTTAAGACAATTTATATATTACCGAATACCGAAGATGATGACATCGGGTGATTACACCACTGCCAATCCGATAGATTCTTTAACCTGGTCACGCTAAATCAATTTGTCGCAGTCCACTTTTTTGACTGTCTTGGGGATTTTTTTAAAGCGATATCAGATCTGTTTTTGCAAAATTACGAATAACATTTACACTCACTTTTCTTTTCATCGACCGGTGTCGACAAAATCTTATAATCTAGACGACGAGATTCCAATCAGACTGCATTTGGATATGGATTATGAGTTAAGGAACAGTCAAGAAAAAGTTTATTGGGCAGAATCAAGGCCCCTTTTCCAGGGCACCATAAAGCAAAGGGCCCCTAACCCACCAAACATAGTCCTAGGAGCCCAAGCTATAAGCGAAACTGGACCTCCTAGCCCTTTTATGAATGCCCAGAGATAGAATCATCTGGAGACAAATAACAAGTTACATGGGTTAATCCATGGCACCACGCTTTGGACTACCCTGTCAGATTTGAATCTATCACGTCAGATACACACTATCTAATACTGCAAAGCCAGCCGCCACTCCACCTTCATCAGATGAAGATATTTTTGTACGCATCAGATACCCGCTACGGCCATTTACAATGACCTTGTCCCTGTTCCTGGAACCGTAGTCCATTGACGTCACTCGTTTAGCTAATTTGAGAAAGCATGGAACTATGATTCGTATGTAAACAAGCTACGTACCTTAGATAAGCACCAAATACCCCCAGTTCCGAAATCGTCTGATCCTTGTGGCAATAGCCACTACGCATAATATATGTTGTAGAATTAGCTGGAAATATCCTCTGCATCAGAATGTAAGCTGCATTTTCTTCAGATCCTGCTTGCTGCAATCTTATGAGAGATTCCCTCACTGCATCCCATAGATATTGTTTCCTGTAATGTAATTACAACTCATTAAGCAGTTTTCAGTCTATCTTACTATATTTTTCATCAACAAAACAGGGTGAAAAGGTGAGGTTTAATTAAGGTAATGTATGACCTCCTCCTTCCCTTGGGGTTTCATTACAAATAATTCTGGTCTCTCAATTGCATTTCTAACAATGTCAGAATCATCCAAACTCCACAATCCTGCAAAGCATTTGCGCAGTTTGGCAATGTCATCTTTATTTTCAAGGAACCTGTTTATAGTTTAACTCAGATTTAGGAAGAGATATCTATGTCCGAGACAATTAAACAAACTCTAGAACAGCAACTTCGCAAGATACCTCTCAAGAACATTGGGCTTCGCAAGTTCCTGTTGAACTTTCTTGGTTCCAACCAAATGATAAGATATTGATGGGCATTTGATAGCAGAAGACCGTTCCATCATTAGCCTAGCTCTCCATTCCTAAATTTCGAGCAAGTGCATCAAACAGTAACAATCATTTTCTATATGAAAGGGTTAGGGTAGAAGAAAATAAATGTAACAAAAAGTATGACATCATGAAGAAGAAAATTTATGCCACTTCATATTACATTATTACTCAAGTCCTAAAAATGCAGAAAACTTTCAGAGGATATTGTCATGCAGCAACTGTCTTGCCAATCACCCATGAATATACACGTGAAAAACAGAGTTTCTAGAGTCCACATACTATTGTTACACTTAGAGAGTATCCCGACAAGATGCTCAACTCAGGAAACAAAATTTGTGTGATATATTAATACAAATCTGATTAAATTTGGAATTAGTTTGCATCTCCAGGGTTGCAAGCTGTGTTGAGCACACTTAAGTTCGTTTGAATAGATGTCTTTGGCAT